TAGAAAACAACATGAATGAATCTCTAAGGAAGTGCTAGGTTTCCATGGTGTGCTGTTCTAGATTCAGATCTAGAAAAGAATTGGACTAGGTGGCAGGTCTGTGGACCTGCCACAAGATGACTCTTTACAAGTCTTGTCATAATCTTTAAATTTTGAAACTTGTTCGATTTATTTCATGATACGAGCTCGAAGGGTTTGAAAGACCTGCACCGCGAGGCTTGGCGAGTGGAGTGGACAAGAGAGGCGCCAAGAAGGAACCGATGACATTTGTCCAAGTAGTGCAAGGCAGTCCTCGAGGCGAGCGGGGATTTCAACGGGACTTGGCGGTAATACTGCGAACGCAGGACGTAATCACCCGGACATACCACCCGCCGAAATAGAAGACCCTCCAGGTGGCTTGTGCGGGGCGGGTGTTATAGTCCACCTTGTTTGTATTATACCCCCCTTTTGGGCCGATTCTGTACAAGACCCGCGGGGGTGGGAGGGAGGGGGGGGGGGGGGGGGGGGGGGGGGGGGTGTTATGTGTGGCAAAAGTGCTATGTTCTCCTATATTTGATAGTTTTTTCCCGCAAGAACCTTCTCCACAATAGTGACAAGGCAGAAATGTGCCTGATTCGTGCCTCGAAGAGTGCATGAATCTTCATTGCGCGTTGCTGTCTGTGTTTTCAACTTATCATATGACGAGAGTAGGCCCCTTGGAATTCGCCATGTGGCAGGTTCCAGTGGGGGGCTACGTTATCGCCACATACTCGGTTTTGCGCACCTGAACAACATTCTACCTATGAAGCAAGACCCCTCTTCTTGTTTCCAGCCGTTTTTGCCTATATATAAACACGGGTCGTATGTAGCTTTTTCCGATGAGAAGACCTCCCCCCCCCCCTCCCCCCCCCCCCCCCCCCCCCCCCCCCCCCCCCCCCAACATTTTATCATAACACCCTAGGGTGGTATGTCCGGGTGATTACGGTAGCAGTGGACCTCGTCCGCCTCTGGTCAGCTGTGGCTTTCTCCGCTCAGCAACGTCAAGTGTGAGCGAGGCTTCAGCCGCCGGAACGTTATAAAGTCATGGCGTATGACAAGTCTCTGCAATGCCAAGCTCAGTGCCTTTATGTGCCTGGACCTGCTTCATTATGACGTCGAATGGGGTCAAGTGGTGGATTTGTGATGCAGCAGCAAGAAGAAGTTGCCTTGCAGGAGAAGGGAGCAGCAGAGGGACAGACTTGTGAGTGCAAAGGGGAAGGAGAAAGTGTTGGATGACGCAAAGGCGGATTTTGAACATGGCAGCAGCAGCGACAGTGGGTTCAACAGCTCTAATGATGAGGAGGGCAAGGTAGGTGGTATCGTACAGTTAGAGTAGTACCTATAGCTGTGTTTTGATAATAGTAGTAGTACAGTACAGTATATGCTGCCATTCCATGACTACTTGTGGTGTGGGACAATGGTGCTGCTGCTACACTAAAGGTATAGCATGCACAAGAGTACCGTAAAAAGGTGTGATAGCGAATTACTATTGGATGGGGCCTTGGCCAATGTTTTTTTCCCTGAGGCATCCGGATGAGGTTTTGGACGTGCCCTGAAATTACAAGGTGGCCAAGAAATTTTGCCCAAAAAAAGCTGGTTTTTTTTTTTTTTTTTTTTTTTTTTTTTTTTTTTTGGATTCTACAGAATTGCTCTGAGGCCTAAGGGTGATCTAAATCCTATATGAGGCCCTAGCTAAAAAGCTATAAGCCCTTAAGCACTCTATGCGGGGCCATACTGTATGAAGCAAAGTGTGAAGCCACCATTGCAACGGATGGTTGGTAAACATTGATAGTGCTTAAATCCATAGGCCCTATCGGTGCCTTCACCAATTTACGAACCTACCGTACCGTATGGCCCCGGATATAGGCGCCGTCCGATTAAGGACGCCGGCGCTTCTATCTGGAGCATGGCGCTTATGGCCGGAACTCGATTATAAACGCCCCCCTTTTGGAGGCTTTACTTATGATAAGCGCACCCTTTTAAGTTTCTGGAGGTCTCTTAAAAAAAAAAACTAACAACTAACACTGTCCAGTCTAACAATATAAGATTTGCACCGACAATTTCATCATTTCAAACCAAACATCTCGCAGTTTTGCCTATCTACCTAGAATCTACTCCTCCTCGTCAGACTCGGGCTCCTCGCAGTTATTGCCAAAGAAGCCATCGACAATAATAGCATCATCGACGTCCACTTCCGCTGTCAGCTGGCTCCGCCTGTGCGCCATGGCGAGCCCGTCCTCACTGCCGTCAAGCGCGTTGCTGATGCCATAGGTGAGGAAGGCGCGCTTGAGAAATCGGCGGGCACTGCCTTCCAGGCCCGTGAGATCCACCGAACAACCACTTCTGGGGGCGGCTTCTTCAAGTTCCCTGCACAAACAAAAACCACCAGATATAATCTAGTTAGCACAACAAAAGGGGGATACTGGAAGGGCACACGGGTTAGTCGCGTGGCTGCCATACCTGCTTGGTCAGCTGTTGTTGGCCCTCTTCCTGAAACCACTTCTGGTACTGCTGGCGGTCGCTCGCCTTAAAGCTCTTGTTGATGGAGACGGCGAGGGGCTGTACCTCCGCCGTGCAGCCAGACGGGATGATCGCCGGCACGCAGTTGAGCTCGCGGAATTTCTCCTTCACGCCCTCAGTGAGGTGACCGCGGTAGGAATCCAGTAGGAGCATCGAGCTCCTTGCATGCCTCCCGAACCCGGGCTTTAAGAAGGGCTTGACGCACTCCTCAAGCCATCGAATGACGCCGTCCGCGTCCATCCACCCGTTCTTGTGGCATGCCACGACCACATCTGCACAACCAACATTGGAGAGTCAGATTTGAATTAAAAAACAACCACAGCTAGGCATACAAACAAAAGAACATGTCTTACCTGGCAGATAAACGCCTTTCGGCACTATCTTCTGCTTGAAAAAGACGAAACTTGAGCTTCATCCCGTCCGCCGTGCACGCCAACATCACGGTTACACGCTCATTCTGGTACCCCGCACTCTTGATGGGCACCGACCGAAGTCCGGTTTGATCGACGGTGGTGGTGGCGGGCATCTCCAGCCAGAGTGGCGTGTGGTCGGCGTTGATAATCCACGTCGTCTTGATGTCGCGCTTGCGACGCTTGTCATAGACGCATTGCCAAAACTTCTTGCACTGCTCCGCGACATCTGCAAAACGGTGGTACAGAGGGCGGCTACACAGGGATACGGTTAGTAAATAAGAAGTGCAAAAACAAGGCATACGTAAGCACTGTGATTCTTACGGGCGGCGATTTCCTGGGCAACCTTCGTCTTCATTCGCACGCTGAGATTCCACCGCCGCCGGAACCGGTCCGACCACCTTTGGCTCCCTTTCCACTTCACGAGGGGGTAGAGTATCTTCATGAACTCCCGGGACCACTCCTGCAGGCGGCCGACGGACACCGCGGTTCCCTTGCGGCCCCAGTCGAGCAGTTTTTCGTACACCTTTATCTCCATCGACCGGTACCACGACGCCATCCCGCGACCATGCATGCGCTTCCTAGCAGAGTGGGCTTCCTTGAGGAATTCCGCGGCACGCTTCCAGTTGGTGAGGCACTTGCGGTGGATGCCACTCTCGCGAGCCAAAGCGCGCATCGACACCGCCACATCCAATTGCGCGACCCACTTCAACTTCTCGGCAGCAGTACAGGCCTGATGCTTGTGCTCGTTAACCTTGTGCCCGGGAGAGGGGGGGCGGGCATCACGGTTCTGTGAAGAAGGGCGGGGGTGCTTTCGATTACGTGGAGGATAAGATGGTATCGAAAGTTTCTGGGGGAGCCCATCGCGTGACCAGTACTCGACGCCGTCGTCGTCGTCACCGCCCGGAGCACCCTCCGGAAACACATCCTCAGCGGTGCCGGCCTCAGTGCCGGCCTCGGTGTCAGGCTCTGTGCCACCCTCTGCGCCGTTGTCGCCCTCAGCGCGCCATTCTTCCTCGGCGTTAGGCACTTCGTCGTCAGCGCCGACTGCAGATTCGTCCCACGTGCAGTCTTCTAGTTGGCCCCAACGTGGTGCCGGCGCCGGCGCGGGTACCCACACATCGGGGCCCTTGTTAGAATCCGGTTCCGAAAGATACTCGTCGAACGCCGATGGGAGCAGGTGCATGAGCATGGGGTGATTGGCGGTGACGTGAGGAGACACTGGACACGCTGGAGACGGAGGAACAGGAGGAGCAAGAGGCGCAGGAGGCGCCGGAGAAGCAGGCGGCGCAGGAGGCGCAGGGGGATGTGGTGGCTCTGGTGGGTATGGTGGTATACGGCTATACCACCCGTCAGCTGTAACACAGTACGCGGGCCTACTGGTAGGTTTTTTCCTGAAGAGAAAATGCGTGCCTGTGAATTCCGCCATGGCTTCCGCAGCCAGGCGGGCGAGAAAACAAAACTGGATGGCAAACAGCAAGAATGGGTGAAGAAATGAGAGATTGAAGGGGGCCCCTTCAGGTTTGCGGCTCGGGGTCCTCGTCAATGAGAGACGAGTCCACCCCTGCCTGAACCTGCAGAGGAGGGTTCGGGGCGCCATACATGCTGTGCTGGCATGACAAATTCCATCCCCTTCTGGAGGGTTCTGCTGAGATGCTCCTGCCTGGCAGCGCATGATAACCTGATTGGGCCGCACGGCAGGTAGCGTCAGCACTGGCAGGTGCGTCGCCCTTGGACAGGTTTTGTGAGTTGGGAAATCAAATCGCGGCAAGTTTCGCCGTGATTCCATGCACGACCCCACGCGCATGGTACAGTGTTGTATTTGCCTTATTGAGGGCTTCAGTCTGGTATCCTTAAAAGTAAAATTCATTTTTGCCATTATAAAAGCGCCGGCGCTTATGGCTGTTACTCAATTACAAGCGCCCCCCCTTACAAAAATGAATTTATTATAAGCGCATATGCGCTACGATCCGGGGCCAAACGGTATTATGGTGCGGAATTGACGTGATGCTGACAAGACCTCAATGAGCAGCCGTGGAGCGGACAAGGGAGTCAGTCGGAGCCATGTGGAGCACAGAGGTGAGCGAGCCAGCGCTGGTGCTGAGAGAAGAGCCCGCACACCACCTGCACCTCCTCCTCCCCGTGCGTCCTCAAATCACCCGGTAGCCACAGTGGCCCATCCACTCCTTCCTCTCCCTCCTCCCCCTTCCATCCCTCCCCTCCCTCCCCTCCCTCCCGTCCCCCCCGTACCTCCCGTCCTCCCTCCCCCTCTCCTCCCTCCCTCCCATCTTCACCTCCCACTCCCTGCTTCCCGCCCACATCCGCCTCTCCAGCAGGCATGGCCGGAAGGTGCCGCCCGATCGCCACGGGTGCGGTGGTGGTGGCAGTGAGGCGGCGGGGCGGTGGTGTGAGGCGGGCGTGGGCGTGGTGGCAGGCAAGCAGCAGCATCATGGCCGTGTCGGGCTGGTGGGCCTCCCTCAGCGCCCTCAGCGCTGCTGTCAGACTGCCCGCTGCCACAAACAGCGTCACCGCACTGCACGGTGAGGGCAAGGGGGAGCGTTAGGGGAGGGGCAAGTGGGCAAGGGGGAGTGGGGTATGTGGCAATCAGATGGGTGTGTTGTGGAAGTGTGAAGAAGGGTGGGTTTCACACGAGGAGAGAAGTCGGGAAGGGAGCAGAGGCAGCAGAACATGTGAAAGGTATGAGGAGGTAGCATGGACAATACACCACATTATACCCACACGATCTTAATACTTTATTTATCACCGCACCCCATCACACGAGATTATTTTTCTTCGTACAACACACCCTTTTGTCATGCCTAAAGCACCACAACCCAGCACTCACCGCCACAGGTCATGCTCACCGCCACAGGTCATGCTCACCGCCACAGGTCATGCTCGTTTTTAAGGGTGTGCTGCGCCCACCGATGCAGCACCCTGTGTCATGCCAGCCCACGGGGTGAGACACATGCCATGCCACGAATATGGGGTTGGGGACGTGCCATACTAGCCCATGGGGTGTAGGGACATGCGGTGGCAAGCTGTTGGGTAAGCAGCATGATGACGGCATGCAGAGTGACAGCGTGTTCAATTAAACACATTGAATGATGGCATGATGATGGCGTGATGATGGCATGATGATGGCATGATGATGGCATGATGATGGCATGATGATGGCGTGATGATGGCATGATGATGGCTTGATGATGGCATGATGATGGCATGACGATGGCGTGATGATGGCATGATGATGGCATGATGATGGCGTGATGATGGCATGATGATGGCATGCAAAGGCTGGTGAAGGATGGTGCAACAGAAGTGAGTAAACAGTGGGACCTTACTTGGCCCTATCAGCGCCTGACAGGTGGCAAGCTGCGAGTGTTGATGCATCAACCCATCGACCAATGGCTTGCAGCTGATGACAGGGGATGAGGATTGTGGATGGTGGGGATGAGCGGGGATGAGTGGGATGATGGGGATGATGAGGATGATGATGAATTGACGACAAATGACTCCTTTGCAGACAACCCCCATCATCAGAGAGCGAGTACGACCATTGTACCTGCATGCACCCATACCTGCATGCACCCATACCTGTATGCACACAACCGCGTGCACACACACATACCTGTGCGGACACACATACCTGTGTGGACACATACCTGCGTGCACACATACCTGCGTGCACACATACCTGCGTGCACACATATCTGCGTGCACACATACCTGCGTGCACACATACCTGCGTGCACACATACCTGCGTGGACACATACCTGCGTGCACTCATACCTGCGTGCACACATACCTGCGTGCACACATACCTGCGTGCACACATACCTGCGTGCAGGCGTCGGCATACTGGGCGATGGAGCAGAGCAGGTGCACGGCTGTGAGCGGCTCCCCCGCCAGCACCATGTTGGTCGCCACCACCTGCTCATTGCCATCCCACCCCACCCCACCCACAACACAACCCCCATGCCACCCATGCACCCCATCCCAACAGTGCCCCCCGTCGCCGTGGAGGGAAGGTGGAGGAAGGAGAGGGGAATGAGAGGAGAGAGGGAAATGAGAGGAGAGAGGGAAATGAGAGGAGAGAGGGAAATGAGAGGAGAGAGGGAAATGAGAGGAGAGAGGGGAATGAGAGGAAAGAGGGGAATGAGAGGAGAGAGGGAAATGAGGGGAGAGAGGGGAATGCGAGGAGAGAGGGAAATGAGAGGAGAGAGGGAAATGAGAGGAGAGAGGGGAATGAGAGGAGAGAGGGGAATGAGAAGTGAGAAAAATGAGAGGGTAGAGATAATGGGGAGAGAGGGAACTGAGAGGAGAGAGGGGAATGAGAGGAGAGAGGGGAATGAGAAGTGAGAAAAATGAGAGGGTAGAGCTAATGGGGTGAGATCACAGTCATGCGCAGCAAGGGCAGCTTGCCTTGGCAGCCAGGTGGTGCATGGAGAGCAGCTTGCCTTGGCAGCCAGGTGGTGCATGGAGGGCAGCTTGCCTTGGCAGCCAGGTGGTGCATGGAGGGCAGCTTGCCTTGGCAGCCAGGTGGTGCATGGAGGGCAGCTTGCCTTGGCAGCCAGGTGGTGCATGGAGGGCAGCTTGCCTTGGCAGCCAGGTGGTGCATGGAGGGCAGCTTGCCTTGGCAGCCAGGTGGTGCATGGAGGGCAGCTTGCCTTGGCAGCCAGGTGGTGCATGGAGGGCAGCTTGCCTTGGCAGCCAGGTGGTGCATGGAGGGCAGCTTGCCTTGGCAGCCAGGTGGTGCATGGAGGGCAGCTTGCCTTGGCAGCCAGGTGGTGCATGGAGGGCAGCTTGCCTTGGCAGCCAGGTGGTGCATGGAGGGCAGCTTGCCTTGGCAGCCAGGTGGTGCATGGAGGGCAGCTTGCCTTGGCAGCCAGGTGGTGCATGGAGGGCAGCTTGCCTTGGCAGCCAGGTGGTGCATGGAGGGCAGCTTGCCTTGGCAGCCAGGTGGTGCATGGAGGGCAGCTTGCCTTGGCAGCCAGGTGGTGCATGGAGGGCAGCTTGCCTTGGCAGCCAGGTGGTGCATGGAGGGCGAGACAGCCGTGGCGAGTGCCACGGCACGAAGGGCGTCGCGGTGGAAGGCGGGCGAGTCGGACGGCGTGGCCAGCAGCAGCGTCACCGCCGCCTCCAGATCGCCCACCATGATGAACCTGCCAGGGCACACATACCCGGGGGGAACGGAGGGAAGGGGGGGGAATAAGGAGAGGGGGGTAGGCAAGGAATACTTGGGCGTATGCAAGGAAAGTTAATGTGAGCTGTGACGTGCTGAAAAGGTGAAGCCTTCAAACATCACGAACGTCTGCGAAGGTATAATGCGGCCCGTGGCAAGTGGGTGCGGGCCGTGCAGGTGAGCAAGTGCCCCGTTCATCAGTGACCGCACATGTGTTGTCTCACTGCCATGCTCCCTCATTCACACTGCTCCCGTCTTACGCACTTATGTGTTAGCCCTAAATCTCATCTTTTGTACTTGTACTTTTTATATCCTAGTGTAGTGTAGTTTGCACTTTGCGTTTGGTTGGGTGTACACCCACATCCTAACCAAACCCAAATGTGATCTCCAAACAATCTCCAAACCACCAATTCGAGATTGCCTTGGGATTACCCCCAATCTCTAGGGATTGCCCCCAATTCCCTCCCCATCATACCAAACTCATCTTGGATGTAGTTAAGGAGATTCAAGCCCATTCCTAATGTATCGATTCTAAGCTCAGTTCTCACATCGTGAAATTTCTTGCCGGTGGCTTTGGCGCGTGCGACCTGGCTGTGCCAGTGGTGGGGTGAGTGTTGATTGGACTCACAAGTCACGGCCAGACTCACTCGTGCACGCGCTTGCTGGCAGCATCAGCGCCGGTGACCTGGCTGTGCCAGTGGATGCGCTCCAGCGCCATGCGCCGCACGCCCATCTCGTCCCCCCACACCTCCACCTCCTCCCCCATCGCCTCCTCCCCGTACCCCTCCCCGCCCGCCCCTGCTGCTGCCTGTTAAAAAATTGGGGCGAGGGGGGGAGTGAGGGAGAGGGAGGGCGTGACGAAGACAGGGGCAGGTGTGAAGGGGTGGGGAGCAGGACAACACGACGAGGGCATAACACATGGATACACTGGTAGGACAGAGAGAGAGGGAGCTGAGCAGGCTGACATACATCAAGGGCGAGGCTGACATACATCAAGGGCGAGGCCTCTCTTCCACTGCTGCTCCTGCCGCTGCTGCTGCTGCTTCCCTTCTCCTTCTTCTTCTGCAGCAGCCCTCCCACTCTCTGCGCTGTCTTGCCTTTGGTCCCCCTCTCCACTCCCCCCTACCTCTCTCTCCGCCTCGTCACCACTCGGGCCTGCTGTGCCACCAGCACCGCTACCACCACTACCAGCGTCGGCGGTGGTGGCGGTGGTGGCGTCAGCGGCAGTGTCGGGCGGCCAGAAGGCGTGTGGTCCTGCTGAACCCTACACGGGCAGGATGGGGCACGCAGAGAGAGAGGGGTCGGGAGGGCAGGGGAGGGGGGGAGAGAGGGAGAAAGCTGAGATGCCACGGACACTGATGAAGTGAAGAGGAGCAATGCGTTCGGGAGGAAGGGAAGGGAGTGGACTGTCGACGGGAGTTGTGTGTTGGCCTCGTCCTCGCTTGGGCGGAGCCGACTACGTGGTCGGGTGTGAGGGGAGAAGCCGTCCTGCAGCAGTGGGCGAGCTGGTTGACGAGGAGGTCGACCTGCACCGGGGCCACTGCACGGGCACCGACTTCAGGGTGGCGCCGACTTCAGGGAGGTCGACCTGGGAAGTTGACCTGCGGAGGGCGTCGACTTGGTGATGCCAACTTGGGGCAGCCGACTTGGGTGGTCGGCTGACAGGACTGCTGGTCGACCTGGTGGTTAGTCGACCAGGCTTGCTGGTCGACTTGGTGATAGGTCGACCAGGCGAGATGTCGACCTGGTGGTCGACCTGACTTGGTGGTCGACGGAGGAGGGGCCGACGTCGACCACAACTCAGGACGCCGAGCAGCTGGGCGTCGAGTAGCACGGCGTCAACTTTGGTGACGCCGACTTCGGGTAACCGACTTGGGTGGTCGGCTGACAACCGCGTTGGTCGACGTGGAGCTGGTCGACCAGGGGTGTGGTCGGCCTGGTGAGGTCGACTTGGGGTGGTCGTCGACTTGGGAGGTCGACGGGCACATGCAGGAGCAGCTGGTCGACGTGGTTGCCCGGTCGACCAGGTTACCTGGGTGACGAGATTCTGCGGAAGAGTGCGACGGTCGCAGGCGAAGTTTGCGAGTCCGACCTCGGTGGTGGTATCCCGAGGTCGACGTGGCTGATCAGATGCACTCGTTAGCGCCAGGCTGACTTGGTGTGTGCGCTGTCCAGGTGACAAGGCTCAGCACGCCAATCATCTACGAGCACCTACGAAGCTGGTGCGATGCTGTACTGCGGGAGCTACGCTGGCACGCCGTAGACCTGCTGCGATGGCACGCCGTCGACTTTGCACTGCTGGAGCGCGGTCGACCAAGTCGTGCTGGAACGCGGTCGACCATGCTGGGCTGGCAGTCGACCGACCTGACTGCTAGCTCTGATGTAGTTTTGCCATGCCAACTTCTTTGTACCATTGTTGTCAACTTTCTCTAGTGAAACTCTTGCCAAATTGCCCCGTGAACTAGCAAGCAGTGTGTGCACTAGGAAAACGACTAAGGACGAACGAACGCAGAGATCACACGAGCATCCATGTTTACCTCGTAGTCTAACTCCCGTTGTAGTAGTTATCTTCGCATGAACGAGCACAGGGGGGACGCTTGAGAGGTGACGGTTGGGAGGCGAGGGGAGGCGGCGGGGAGGCAGAGCGCGTGAGAGTGGCAGTGCAGGGGTGGATGGGGCGCATCAATACATGAGTGCAGGCAGTTCCGCTGGCCTTGCAACAACCCGTTCATGCAGTGCGGTGCGGTGCGGTGGAAGGGGGGAGCGCGATGGAGGGGGCAGGCGCATCGAGTTGGGCGAGGAGGGCAGAGAGGTGAGGACAGGCCTGGGCGAGGAGGGCAGAGAGGTGAGGTCAGACCTGGGCGAGGAGGGCAAAGAGGTGAGGAAAGGCCTGGGCGAGGAGGGCAGAGAGGTGAGGACAGGCCTGGGCGAGGAGGGCAGAGAGGTGAGGACAGACCTGGGCGAGGAGGGCAGAGAGGTGAGGACAGACCTGGGCGAGGAGGCGCAGGGCATGCGGCAGCAGCAGCCAGAAGTGCGCCTCTTGAATGTCCCCGTAGTGCGCCGCCACACACGCACAGCGCGCCGCCACCCCGCCCCCCCACACCTTGCTGTACGCCCTCGCCGCCTCCACCCCCATCAGCTGCCCTGCCGTGGGTGATGCGCGGTGGTCCATGGGCGGGCGGAGTGGATGGTGCGATGAGATGGTGGATGGTGGGATGAGATGAGGCACATGCATCCTACATGCCATGTGTGACATCAGCGTTACTCTCGATGCCGTTTCCAAGTTCAGAACGGAGAACCCTCCTGCCACTCACCTCATCCACTTGCCACCCACCTGCCACCCACCTGCGATACTCTTGCCGCCCACGTGCCGCCTACCTGCCATGCGCATGGGCTGCAGCCCCTTGAGCAGCACCTCCGCCATGGCGGGGTCGCCCACCCCGCCCGCCAGCTGCCCGCGGTGCAGCACGTACGCCAGCAGATCGCCCCGCGCCCTGCCCTCCTTGCCCGCCTCCTCGTCCCCCTCGCCCTGCCCCTCGCCCAGCTCGCCCCCATCCCCCTGGGCGCCCGCGGGCAGTGGTGCCTCCAGCCATGCGGGGTGCATGCCCATCTGCAGCAGCAGGCGCAACGCCTGGCACGTGCACGCATGCACGGGGGAGGAGGAACGGGCAAGTGGGGACAGGCAAAAGAGAAGGGGACGAGGTGGTGGAAGGAAGCGGGAGAGCGAGGGGAAGGGCAGTGGAAGGGCGTGATGGCAGCCTCAGGACATCCAGGCCGTAGATATCAGGCCAGTGTCAATTGCAGGTTGCACCTGATCTCATTATGATGGCGGGTGGGTTAACCCACCTCTCGCTCTTCTCAATCCCCATACATGCATTGCGTGTTTTCCATCATTGGTACCCTCATGAACTTCTCAGGCATGGAGTTCGTTCCCTCATGCCTCATCATCCTACGCAAGGGCGTGCGGGAAAACAGCAGTGCAGGGCGCAGCACGCACCAGAGCGCAGGGCAGCACGCACCAGAGCGCAGGGCGCGGGCATGAGGGCGACGGAGCAGAGCGGCGAGGGGCGGAAGCGGTGCCACACCGCCAGGCGCGAGGCGGGCGGGCGGTAGAACGGCTGCTTCAACGGCGCGTTGCTGGGGGGGTATGGGCGTGGCATGGCGACGGTTGTTGAGGGGAGGGCGATGACAGGCAATGGGGGGAGGGGCAATCTGGAATGGTTAGCGGGTCGAGAGAGATGAAAGAAGGGCAATGGATACTGCGCCCATGGCAAGCGTTGACCGCATGCTGATCATCGTCCTCACCACAGAACCTCATTCCACATGCCATGCCACATCCACGACCCTCCACTGGACCAGCATCTTCCCCCCACCCACCCCCCACCCCCTCACGTGGCCATGTCGAGCAGGCGCACGGTGCCGTCAGCAGCCGCCACGCACAGCAGCTGGCGGGCGGCAGAGGGCCCTGTGGGCGAGGGGCCCTGCAGCGGCAGCCAGTCCATCTCCAGCACCTGCAGTGCTGCCGCTGCCTCCGACGGCATCGCCCCCGGTACAAACTCCCCCTCGTCCTGCACGAGGGGGTACAGGGCACAAGTACGTTTGGGGTGTGTTGTTGGGGTTGTGCGGGGTTGGTTTCAGCGGGTGTTGTGGGCTCTTGCAATGCAGGCTAAGGTTGATGGTGGATGAACGAGGGTGGGGTGATGGAGGACGTGCAAGGATGGAGGCGATGCTGTTGTGTTGCACGCGAAAGCAGGGATAGGGTCCTGTGCGTTGCAGGAAGCGATGAGATGGTGGACGCAGCACGGATGGGAGAGCAGGTGGAAAGTCAAGGTACCGTGCTGTCGTGGAGTAAGGCACTGGCCAAGTGTGCAGGCAGCTCTGGCAAGCTAGCTGAGTTGGGCAACCCAAGCTGAGCTGGTCTACAGTACATTGGGTGAATTCCACCAGACATACACCCAAACATGAAGTATGTGGCTATGTAATAACCTACACAAAGGATAAGCGCGCTGACCAGGTCAAAGAGGGCTGACCAGGTCAAAGAGGGCTGACCAGGTCAAAGAGGGCGAAGGTGTAGTCGTTGAACATGACGGCGATCCGACCGCAGCTGCTCGAGCTCACGAGCGTGGGGGCGAATCTGAGCCGTCGGATGGCCCCTCGGTTGAGTGCGTGTGTGCCTGCTGCCCCCGACGCCACGTCCCACCACCGCAGCACCCCCGCCTTGTCCCCCAGCGCCTGCCGCCCACCGTGGGGGGAGGTGGGGGGGGAAGGTGCGGGGAGAGGTTGGGGGGGGGAGATGGGGAGAGAGGGTGGGAGGGGAAGGTGGGGAGAGGTGGGAAGGTTGGGAGAGGTGGGAAGGTGGGGAGAGGGTGGGAGGGGGAAAGGAATGAGAGGCGAAGGTGGCACAAGTCCCATTTGTGCACATAGGGTGGTGCATTGCATTGCAGCGAGGCGACTGAGTGATGGCATCATGTGCTGTGCTGTGCCGGTGGTACTCACGACGACGGGGGTGCGGTACGCCATGGCTGTGACCAGCACGTCCACCGCCACGAACGATGCTGACGGCCACTTGGGCCTGCACGGGCGAGACGAGAGGTGTGCAGGGGCGGGGGTGGGGGGTGTGGAGTCGCGGAGAGGCACACGTGGTTGCAGTTAGAAAGGCATGGCGTGCGGGGGACCTTGACTCACATGGCGAGGGATGGCAAGTGGAGGATGATGTGCCATGCCATGTATATAGCAGGGGGAAAGCAGAGAGCATCACAGCGACGACGGGCTTGGTGCTCCGGACCGGAAGTCCCAGGGCAACGGCAAAACAGGGTCCGTCCGACCAAAGCTAGTATCTGAAGATGTCAAAACCCGCACGCACCGGAAGTCACGGACGCGCTTCCCTCGCAGCTCAAAGACGCCGAGCGAGCCGTTGACGAGGGCGAAGGCGAAGGACTCGATGGGGTCGGACGCGGAGCGCGGCGTGGCTGCCAGCAGCGCCGCTGATGTTGGCGACGCCGGGAAGTCGTCGTCTGGTGGGCGGATGGGGGGGAGGGGGACCATGGTGTGAGTGTGGAGGACTACAAAAATGCAGAGGAGTAGAGGGGAAGGGATGTGCTAGGGCAAGCAAGTGTTTACAGGGACGCCATTTGTGGTGGTGAAGGCCATGTGCTGTGCACTACCGCATTTCAAAACACTAGTATGCACACGCCATGGCATGCAAGCAACGCAGCATGTAGTGTAGTGCAGTGGGAACATGACATTAAGCACGAGAATTGTGAGTCTCATTTAGTCACGCATGGCCCATCTCACCGTGCACGCATGACCGCACCGTGCACGCATGACCGCACCGTGCACGCATGACCGCACCGTGCACGCATGAGCGCACCATGCACGCATGACCGCACCGTACACGCATGAGCGCACCGTGCACGCATGACCGCACCGTGCACGCATGAGTGCACCGTGCACGCATGACCGCACCGTGCACGCATGAGCGCACCGTGCACGCATGACCGCACCGTGCACGCATGAGCGCACCGTGCACGCATGAGCGCACCGTGCATGTGGCGCTGTGTGGCGGAGTGTGGGTCGAGCGTGGTGGGGCTCTGCACGGGCGGCAGCGCCCACTCCATCACTGTGAAGGGCAGCGCCAGGGAGCGCAGCTGGTGTGGGGGAAGGGGGTGAGAGGGGGCAACGAGAAAAGTTTTGAGAATCTTGAAAGTGGCAAACGAGTATTCCATCGCTGTGACGGGCAACATGAGGGAGCGCAGCTGTACGGGGGTTGGGAGAGAATGCAACAAGGAAACAGGGAAGAAAACGGCGTGTTTAGTGTGATGAGCCACACATGCCACATTGCGATGGGGAGATGGTGGGAATTGGGACACAGAGGTTGGTTCTGTTTCTGCTTTTGAGTCGACTCAAAAGCAGAGGTTGGTTCTGTTTCTGCATCAACAATCAGACTGAATCGAAAAAACACGATTCCTTCAAACAATATCATGACTCATCTCAACATCCCATTGCAAACGAGTGTTTGAACTCACCATCTGGGGTGTGCGAGTCATGGCCCACACTTCAGCTGGCGCGTCACGGAAGAGGATGAGCAGGTACCTGACCACACGCACCACCCGCACACGCGACGAGAGGGAAGGCGATTGCAGGACGCACTTGGTGTTGCATGAGAAGCAACGTGCAAGAAGAATGCAGGTGAGCTGCAAGCAGCATGTGAATCATGCATGGTCGCTTCAAATGTGCCAACCTCATAGAAAGGCGAGAGCCATGTGTCAGGGCGTGGGAGTGGCGTGGCAGAGCGTGGGGGTGACGTGGCAGAGCGTGGGAGTGACGTGGCAGAGCGTGGGAGTGACGTGGCAGAGCGTGGGGGTGCCGTGGCAGAGCGTGGGAGTGCCGTGGCAGAGCGTGGGAGTGCCGTGGCAGAGCGTGGGAGTGACGTGGCAGAGCGTGGGAGTGACGTGGCAGAGCGTGGGGGTGCCGTGGCAGAGCGTGGGAGTGAGACGTGGCAGAGCATGGAAGTGACGTGGCAGAGCGTGGGAGTGACGTGGCAGAGCGTGGGAGTGACGTGGCAGAGCGTGGGGGTGCCGTGGCAGAGCGTGGGAGTGCCGTGGCAGAGCGTGGGAGTGACGTGGCAGAGCGTGGGAGTGACGTGGCAGAGCGTGGGGGTGCCGTGGCAGAGCATGGGGGTGCCGTGGCAGAGCGTGGGGGTGACGTGGCAGAGCGTGGGGGTGACGTGGCAGAGCGTGGGGGTGATGTGGCAGAGCGTGAGGGTGACGTGGCAGAGCGTGGGGGTGACGTGGCAGAGCGTGGGATGGACGGCACCTGCCGGAGGGCGAGGCGCGGAGGCCCCTCATGGGCGACTTGTCGGGCTGCTGCAGCTGGCGGAAGGGGCGAGACTCGCCGCTGCGGATGCACGTCACCACCACCCTGTTCTCGTACCCCCCCGCCTTCGCCTGAAGGCCATGTGCGACGGGGGCGGTGAGCAGGGGGCGACACAGGGCGTGATGTTAAGTGCAGGCAGGGCAAGTGACGAATGCCACTTGCCCCATGTGCTCACTAGCCACAGCATACAGACCTCCTTGCACTCACCCACATCCCCACACTCACCCACACCTCCACTCTCACCCACACCCCCACATTCACCCACACCCCCACATTCACCCACACCCCCACATTCACCCACACCCCCACATTCACCCACACCCCCACATTCACCCACACCCCCACATTCACCCACACCCCCACACTACACTCCCTTCCCATACGCCCCCTCTCTCCTCTATGCGTGCACGCACCTCTTGGAAGGAGAAGGAGACGAGGCGGGTGTTGCCGAGCCAGCGCACCCCGCGCACCATGGAGGGGTGCAGCAGGAAGGATGCGGCGATGGCATGCACAGCCGTGTCCACCAGCTCCACCCCGCCCTCCTGCGTTGCCACCGCCACCAGCGGCACCGCCGCTGCTGCCAGCGACCCCGTTGCCGTGCTCAGCCCTTGTGAGGGGGAAGCGGGACGAGACATGTGGGGGGTGACGAAGAAGAAAGGGGCGGGCCAGACAATATGCTAAGTGATGGCGGGCTACACGAGGGTCAAGGTTGTGAGGTGCGGAGCAAGGAGGGGTGGTGGAGAGGTGGGAGCACAGCACACATGCAAGAAAAGACAGCTGGTGTCAATGGCAGGCGAATGCGTGCATGCAGGAGGTGCGTGCAGAGCGTGGGGCCTGTCGCACACAGCTGGTTGGTGCAGCCATGCACTGGGTGGGGTGGGGTGGCACGCACCTGGGACGCAGGAGAAGAGGGAGGGTGCAGGCACGGAGAGCGTGGTGGGCGCGGAGGAGAAGCCGTGGAACATGCCCAGCAGCTCCAGCTGGTGCCACGGTGCACGCACACAGGGGAGGGTGGGGGGGGGGGGAGGGATGCGGGGCACGTGTGTGGAGAGGCAGGGAGGCACGGGAGGGCATGGCGTGGCAGGGTGCTTGAGGCTCCACGCACTGCTGCCTTGCTGCGAGGCACCGCAACCCTCCTTGCCCCACCCCCTGTGCAATGCTACATGCATTGCACCGCACAACACCGCACAGCACGCACCTTCATGGCCACCTCCACGCCGTCACCCATCGCACTCGCCCCCTCTCCACCACCGCCCTCTCCGCTCCCCCCCCCGCCCCCCCCACTCCCCCGTCCGCCCCTCGCCCCACCGTCCCCACCATCCCCTTTCTCCCCGTCCGCCGGCCCCCCCAGCGCCCCCTTGCCGCGCGGCACGGGAGCAGTGCGGGCGAGCCAGTGCCAGAGCTTGTTGTCGTCGCTCACACACACCACCTGGCAGCTGCTCACGCCGTGCAAGCTCACGCCCGCCGCCACGGCGCCGCCCAGGCTGCCGTTGGGGCGCGGCGTGGTGGCGGGCACGGCCGCCAGCACCAGCTGCGCCTCGCGGAACGGCTGCGGCCACAGCACGGCCGCCAGGATGCCCGGGGACGGTGCTGCACTGCCAGGCAGCGGCACCAGCGGCTCCACCGTGCGGATCATGTACAGCTGGCGGCCTCTGATTGGAGGGGAAAAGGGGGTGAGGGGGGTGGACGGTTGGTTGCAGGGGAGTTGGATGGAAGTGATGGGGTGATGGGAGTATGATTCGGTGGCAGGAGCAAGAGTGGGTGAAGTGAAGAGCAGTTGAGCATTGTTGATAATCACCTCCACCTCACTTCCCCCATGCTCGACCTCCATGCTCATTGCCCCGTTCTCAATCCTTCATCCTTCCACCAACACCGCTACCAACCCCCCCCACCTCTCTTCCCCCCCAATCTCCCCAGCATCCACTTTCCACCTTCATCATTCTTCCCGCTCTCCCTCCCCCTTCTCTTCCCCCCCCCACTCCCGCTCCGCCTCTCGCTCCCCCCTCCCCCCCCCTGCGTACGGGCGGCGCTGCCACATGGAGAGTTTGCCGTCGGCGTGGAGGCAGTAGAGCACGTCGCTGGACGGCGGCAGCAGCAGCCGCGTCAACCGAGCCACGCTGCGCGGCACGGAGGACGACGCCACGGCGCACCCGAAGTGCAGGTCGAAGCACACGATGTCACGCGGCAGCACTGCGTACAGCAGGTCGCGCGTGTGCGGGGCGAACGCACACGCCACCACTGATGCTCCACCCCCGCCTCCCCCTCCCCCTCCCCCGCCGGCGGGCTCTGGCAGGGGCAGCTGCAGCGTGGTGGTTTTGATGCTCACCCCCCTCTCCTTGCCCACTCCCCCCCCGTTCCCCCCGCTACCCCCACTCCCCCCCGCGCCTCCCTTGCCCGGCGCGGCCAGGTCGACCTGCAGCGCGAGCACGAGCCCCCGCGCGCCGTGCACGCACAGGCGGCGCGGGTCGTGGGGGTCCAGCGCCAGCGACACCAGCAGCTCGCCCGTGGGCGACGCCGACCCGTCGTACCGCCAGATGACACGTGGCGTCGCCGTGGCGGCCGCGGCGTGCGAGGAGGAGGCGGCGGCGGAGGAGGAGAGGTCCCAGACGACGGCGGCGCAGCTGGCGTGCAGCACGGCCAGCAGCCACGGCCGCCCCATCACCCACTCCACCACGTCCACCGACCCCGCCGCCCCGCCCCCCGCGCTGCCGCCCGCGCCCCCCGCTCCCCCCGCCGCCGACCCCCCGCGGTCGGGCAGCAGCCAGCGGTCGACCTCTTCGCGCACCACCTCCCAGAGCGCCACACGCCCCGCGCGGTCGCCCGCCGCCAGCTGCAGGCTCGAGAGGTGCGCCAGGTCGCGGTCCAGCCCGCCCGGCTTGAACCGCGCCGCCGTCACCGGCACCACCACGCCTGCCGTCTCCGCCGCGCCGCCCGCGAGGCCCCCGGAGCGGTCGAGGGGCGGCGGCGGCGCGACGAGCGTGTGGACGAGCTGCATGCTGGCGAGGTCGACGACGCTGATGGCGGCGCCGCTGCTGAACGCCGCCAGGCCCTGCGGGCTGCAGTCGAGCGCGCTCACGCCGTCCACCACCGGCCCCGCCAGCGCGCCCGGCACCGCCGCGGGCGCCGCCGCCGCAGACGCGTCCATAACCATCGCGGTGGGGTCGGGGCGGTGGGATGGATGCTAGAAACGCAATGCGGTGCGGCGAGAAAGCATATATGAGGTTTTTTTCCCGAAAAAGTAACGACTATGACGGTTACGATGGAAAGTATCTTATTTAGAGCAGAGAATGATGGCGAAGGTATGAACGAACACTGGGCAAATTCGGTGAGTTGCAGTGAGACTGTCAGGCCAGTGAAGATGGTGGGGTGGGATGAGAGTCGACAAAAAAATCATAGGCCCTGTTCGCCAGCACATGTGAATTCGAAAGAAATCTGACGGGATCGGTATGGCAACGGAATCAGGAACCGGGAGCGGAACCCGCCGAATAAGTTTGGGCGGAATGGTCCCTTCGCGAAATTTCGCGCCAAAAATGGGAGAGCGGGGGGGGGGGGGGGGGGAGGGGGGCAGCGCGGTAGGGGAAGTGACGGTAGTAAGGAACCGACTCGTCAAACATGACGTCCTGAGAGGACAGAACACGGCGCGAGGTGGGGTGGTAAAACTGCCAACCAGGCGCGTCAGGGGGGAAGCCAAGGAAGACACAGGGAACAGCACAGGAGGACAACTTGTCCGCAGACAAGTCGCGGACGAAAGCTCGAGATCCCCAGACATGGAACGCAGACGCATCGCCAACCTTCCCCGTCCACCGCAGAGTAGGTGTGGTCTCCGGCATGGAGACCCGAGGCTGGAGGTTGATCTGATGCGCCGCGTACTGAACCGCGAATGGCCACAGAAATTGGGGAGCAGCCGCATGGATCATGGACGTACGAGCGACGTCCATGACCATGCCAATGCGGCGCTCAGCAATCCCATTTTGCTGTTGAGAGGCCGGAAGCGTGAGCATCTGGCGGATGCCCTCCGCACGACAGAAGGATCGCAGAAGGTCGGAGGAAAACTCTCCACAGGAAGGTCCGAGCCGAAACTCTCGCTAAGCTGGCGACGGGCTGCGCGGATCCAATCGATCAGCACCTCAGTGACCTCACCCTTGCGGCGCAAGGGGAAGACTGTGGTATAACGCAAGTATTCGTCAACGACGAGCAGAAAGTAGCGCTCGTGACCCTGTCCACGGACGCGGGCTGGGCCCCACACGTCCATGTGAAGAGTCTGCAAGGGAGCCTCCGTGGGAGGGAACTCGGAGGAGCGAGGAGCGGCGCGCTGCCGCCCCTCGACGCAAGGAACGCAGGTAGGGGCGGGCCCCGGGGGGAGGGGAGGGAGAGACCGGGGAAGACCAGTGACAAGGACACGGGAGGCCATGCCTCGGAGACGAGGTAGGGAGGGGTGACCAAGGCGGTGGTGCCAGAGGAGAGTCTGGTGAGACAGGAGGCGACACGAGCAGGGGGCAGACTCAGGACCAGACCGAGACGCTGCAGCAAACACCTGACCCGACGCGGCTACCTGACCAGACTCAGTAACCGGAGGAGACACGGTAGTCAGGGTGTACAGGCTCGACCCAGGCTGACGGGTGAACGTGGCCAGGTGCCGGCCCGTCCGAGTACACGAACAGTGGGTCACCCGCTGACCTCCAGGAGTGAACTGGTCAACCCAGGCGTCTTGAAGGTCAGCTCCACTCACCAAGTTCGTGGAGAACGAGGGGAGGTGGAGGCCAGACAGAGAGCCAGACGGGACCGCCGGACACGGCAGAACCGTGGAGGAGTGTGCAAGGACCGGACCCCCAGAGGGGTCAGCCAGAGAGACTGCCACTGGCTGATTGAGCGGCAAGAGTGTGGTGCAGTCCTGAAAGAAAGAGCGGGAAGCACCCGAGTCAAGGGTGAAAGTGTGCAAGGCCGCAGTAGGCGCAGTACCAGAGAGAGTAAACTCACCAGCACCTGGAGCAGTGGACTCACTAGCGCCTAGAGCAACAGCCTCACCAGCACCTGGAGTAGGAGACACGCCAGCACCTAGAGCAGCAGCCCCACCAGCACCTAGAGCAGCAGCCCCACCAGCACCTAGAGCAGCAGCCCCACCAGCACCTAGAGCAGCAGCCCCACCAGCACCTAGAGCAGCAGCCCCACCAGCACCTAGAGCAGCAGCCCCACCAGCACCTAGAGCAGCAGACTCTATACCTGAGTCAGGCGGCACACACAGGTAACAGGCACCCTCAGTATTAGTAGGCAATGCATACATGGCAGTGAGGATAGCATCATAGTCAAGAGCAAAGATATCTACCCTCCGCCTAAGCAGCTCCAGCCAGGAGGGGAGCTCAGCGTCGTCGCCGATTTCTGTACGCCAGGCGTCGCTCAGAGAGGAGAAGCAGCGGGACTCTGTGTGACCAACCGTCCCGCAAGGCTGACCAGCCCGAGCACCAGTGCGAATGACGTACGGGCAGCGAGCACTACTCCGTGACCCTCTACTCTGAGCGTACCACTCACGAAGCTGCTTGGGCCAAAGGGTCGCGCGCGGACGCCGCTGCAGTTGCACCTGGTCACTACAAGAAGCTCCCGAACGACCCGCGTCAGGGCGACTCCCACCACGGCCACCCCTACAACCCTAACTAGCATACCAGTCACGAAGCTGCTGGGGCGAAAGGATCTCGCGCGGATGCCGCTGCAGATGCACCTGGCCACTACAAGAGGCTCCCGAACGACCCGCTCTAGGGCGACTCCCACCACGGCCACCTCGACAACCCCAACTTGTGTACCACTCACGAAGCTGCTGGGGCGTGAGGGACTCACACGGACGTTGCTCGAGTTGCATCTGGCCGCCGCCAGTTGCAGCAGTAGCAGTAGTAGTAGCGCAGGCAGGGCAGTGCGGCTCAGTAGAGCAGGGCTGCACAGCTCGGCAGCACGACGCGGCTCGGCGGGGCGGCTCGGCGCGGCTGAGCAGCGCGGCTCAGCTGGGCGGTTCGGCTCAGCTGGGCGGCGCGGCTCGGCTGGCAGGCAGGCGCGGCAGGCAGGCCGGCGCGGCAGCGCGCTAGTAAGGCAGGCACGCGGGAAGCGCGGGTAGGGCAGGTGCTCACCAGTGGCGGGAAGGGCCGACGGCGGCGACGGTGGGGCCGCGACAGCTGCAGGGCGGGGCCGCGAAAGCGGCAGGGCGGGGCCGTGACGGCCGCAGGGGGGCTCCGCGGCAGCTGCTACAGGGCGGGGCCGTGACTGCGGCAGGGAGCTCCGCTGCAGCTGCTGCAGGGCGGGGCCGCGACTGAGGCAGGGGGCTCCGCGGCAGCTGCTGCAGGGCGGGGCCACGACAGCGGCAGGGGGCTCCGCGGCAGCTGCTGCAAGGTGGGGCCGCTACTGCTGCAGGGGGCTCCGCGGCAGCTGGTGCAGGGCGGGGCCGTGACAGCGGTAGGGGGGCTCCGCGGCAGCTGCTGCAGGGCGGGGCCGCGACTGCTGCAGGGGGCTCCGCGACAGCTGCTGCAGGGTGGGGCCGCAACTGCTGCAGGGGGGGGCTCCGCGACGAGTAGGGACGGCGCCCAAGGGGCGCCGCGACGAGCAGAAACGGCGCCCAGTGGGCGCCGCGACGAGTAAGGGCGACGCCGCGGGGGCGCCGCGACGAGCAGAGACGGCGCCCAGGGGGCGCCGCGACGAGCAAAAACGGCGCCCAGTGGGCGCCGCGACGAGTAAGGGCGACGCCCCGGGGGCGCCGCGACAAGCAGAGACGGCGCCCAGGGGGCGCCGCGACACGCAGGGGCGACGCTCAGGGGGGGGCGCCGCGCCGAGTAAGGGCGACGCCCCGGGGGCGCCGCGATGAGTAGGGGCGGCGTCCAGGGGGCGCCGCGACGAGCAGGGGGGGGGACGCCGCGCGGGTCCCGCAGGGGCGTCGCGATGAGTAGGGTTTAGGGCGGCGCGCGGGCTGCAGAGGCAGCTCCCACGGGCTGCAGAGGCAGGCACGGCTGCAGGGGCAGGCACGGCTGCAGGGGCAGCACGTTCGCAAGGGCAGCACGCGGGCTGCAAGGGCAGCGCGGCTACAGGGGCAGCTAAAAAAAAATGTCAGTTAGGGCAGGGCGGAACGTTCGGTGGGCCCTAGGAACGATTCTGCTCTAATACCATGTGAGAATAAGAACGAGGAATGAGTGCATTGAGCAGCATGAGGAGTACAAGTAGTAAACCCTAACACTACTTTACCTCATAAGGAGTGCCCCACTACAGCGTACAATATAGTTCTGACATCAAGATAGTGATTCAAAAAGTTATTTACGAAGGTTATGTTAGGACATAAATTTTTTCTGCGAGATTTTTGTAAATTTTTTACAGCCTCTTGCGTTCCTGGAGCCTTCCTTAACCGGTGCCACGAGCCGAGCCGATGCAGTGCACCGCGAACTGCAACACGCCGTAAATTCACTTGCGGTATCTTCACCACATGGTGGTACTTTCCCGCGGTCAAGCTAGTTTATGAAGGTAGTTTCGGATTCAAAGGGGTAAAATCATGCATACCCTTTACCAGATCGGGAAAGTCGTAACTTGTTAAAAAACCAATCCCGCCCTTCTCTACGATCACTAAGTATGAGTGCGATAGACAGAAATGCATCTTTGCTGTTTACTTGTATCCCTGCGGTCTCTGGGTGACCGTCTCAATCAGGGGGCCCTGGAAGAAAAGCGTTCAGGCGGTGAATTTACCGCGGGCCAGGTGTATCAGCTCGAGCTCAAAGTACTTTAGCTTGGAAGTTCAGGGGCGAGAGGTTTGTCCTCTTGTGGTTACTCAAATGTCATTTTTGTCCCCCTACTATTCCTAAGAAGTTGCACCCCGCCTTTAAGTTGGTCACGGCATGGGACCGCAGAATCTTCATTGATAATTGGTTTAGTGTTTATCTAGGTTTGGTGATAAGAGAGGTACTGCCAAACTTGTTTGTGCCAAATTTAACGTTTCAGCCTACAGAACACCACTTTTGGGGCGTTCAACTTTAACCGCATGATGGTTTCATGATGCTCCATCGCCTAGCAAATGTGCGCACAACTTGTGCGCAGCAAATTGAGGACGCGGTATAAATAGACGATCGATCGTCTGTCACGAGCGGTGTGCGGATCAGCTACCCAGTTTACTAGCATGTAACAATGTTACGG